CAACTCTTTTTCCCTAGAAATATTGGTGATTTTTTTTCTATTTTCCTTTTCAATTTTTCCTTTATTCATGGAGGCGGGAAACGTTGTTTTGTTTTTTCCATTATATTTATTAATGGATATTCATCAATTCGTAGACTGTTAAATTGGTATTAGTGGTGGACAGCTGAATTTTGTGATCTCTTTATTAAAATAGACACGACTTGGGAATAGAGTATGCAAATTACGTGAAATGTTCACAGTTACTACTCAATAACATGTTCTTTATCCCAGTTATATTTTTTACAAAATGGAGCGTGCCATTTTTTTTTTATCATACGGTCACTTTCTGTTTGACTCGCCATGTATTCATCTTTTCATCTGTGATAAACACAAATTGAGCTACTGCCATGGTCACACAAAAATAGAGTCTAATTGCCTGCCTCGTCTCCTTCCTAAATGTCAATTGCATTTGCATGAGTCGAGAAGAATTGTGTACCATTAATCGCTATATGCTGTTTACGACCATCACAATAAACTATTAATATATTGGCAATATGTCAATATTGCCATATTATTGCCATGCCATATTTTCAATGGGGAGCGCCAATAAAATCCTAAATTCATTCACACTATATTAACTAATGCGCCCTTGTCACGACTACTTCTTTAGGGGAAGACCGTTCGCATGTACATCACAATCCTTCTTTTTGCTAATGCAATTTTTTTTTACGGAATTTATTTTTTTGGGGGGGGGCTAGACAAAATTTGGGGGGGGGGCTACAGCCCCCCCCCCCCCCCCCCCCCCCCCCGTAGAACCGCGCCTGACATATTATGGTTTTTGATGTTGAAGCAAACAAGGCCTGAAGCATGCATACGCAAAAAGATTTCCGTAAAAGGTTGGTGTCCTGCGTTGCAATGCCCATCCAAACAAAACATTCAAACGTTGTCCCATTTCACTCCATAAATCTACCCGAGAACTATGGGGGCTTTGCGAAGCAGAGCCCCATAGAATGTTCAGAAGATGGAATTTTGCGTCGGGGTGATGTAAATCAAAGTAGGTTTTGCCCTTCAACAATGTATATATACACTGTATACTCAGTGTGTTACCTCCTGAGTGAAAGTTGGAAAAAATCACTCAGGTGGGACTTAAACCCACGACCTCCTGCTTTCTAATGCAGATGTCTTACCTCTCCACCACCGAGCTAACGGGATCAGTTGGCCGGTTCGAATCTAATGTACATAGCAGCGGGTACCGCATAAACTATTCATAAGACAGAATTTTTGTGTCGGGGTGATGTAAATCAAATTAGGTTTCTGCCCGTTAGCTCGGTGGTCGAGTGGTAAGACATCTGCACTAGAAAGCAGGAGGTCGTGGGTTCGAGTCCCACCCAAGTGATTTTTTCCAACTTTTACTCGGGAGGTAACATACTGAGTATACAGTGTATATATTGGTGAAGGGCAGAACCTAATTTGATTCCCATAGAAATGGGTAAACGTTTTTTATAACTGCTACATTTAATGTAAAAAAAAATACATGAAAATGCCCACAGTGCTCAAAAACCACTGTTAAGGTTGCTAAAACCCGCTGAAAATTTCGCCTCTAGACTTGTTTAATACTTTATACATTGCATAAAAATTCTAAATAGTGTAATTTAAATCAAAGCTAATCTAAAACAGAAGAGCAATTACACTGCAACTACACGTCTGAACACTAGCTTTTAGCCATGTCATGATTACCGAAATTAAATCATGTGGTCCTCTAAGTTTCTTCTCCCCGCCTGTACAACAATATTTGAAGAAGGCACATCATTTGTAAACAAATGACAATGAGCATGCGCCAATTCTTTTTTTATTGGTCTCTTGCAAGACACATTTTTTATCTTCTGCTTTTTTAAAACTACATCATTAATTACAAAGGTTTAAGGAAAAGCTTCCTTTTATTTTCTATATTCTAAACATCCTTGTAAATGTAATGTAAGACGAAAAACTCTGTTTCGTAACAATCAGCCACTGAACATGCAGAGAATATGTAATTTGGAATTGGTACCTACAGTGTGAAGTGTAATACATACACATGCCAATGATTGCTGTCACCCAGTGATGCCACGTGCGGCAGTACACAACCGAAAGATTTAATTGACAGGACTTGTGCACTCTGTGTTGTCATTTTGGTACTTCGGCTTTGCTTCGGCTTTGCTTCGGGAAAATAGAATGTCCATGGATCACCTCGGGAGGCTAGTTTTACTACACCACTCAAAGCATTCAATATTTGTATATGTGGAGAGTGGGTTCCAGGATATAACTGTACCATTGTACCGGGTAGCTTAGTGTGAAGTGCCTGCATGTAATTAAAATTTAAATTATGTTCCAAATAAACATTTTAATTTCAACGTAGCGACATACCTGTGTTTTCTTTATTACATTCACCAACATAAAAACTTGATAAAATACTTGACCTGGACATACTTGACTCAACATAGTTCCTATCCCGAAGTCAGTCGATCTCACAAGGGCAGATGATTATAGAGGAATCAGCCTCAGCTCTGTGGTTGCCAAGGTCTACAATCAGATGATTCTGAATAGAATCCGCCCAGTTCTCGATCCTCTGCTGCGCAAAAACCAGAACGGCTTCAGAGAGAAGAGGTCCACAGTCTCACAGATATTGGCTCTGAGAAGGACCATCGAAGGAGTTAACAGGAAGCATCTCCCAGCTGTGATGACCTTTATCAACTTTAGGAAGGCGTTTGACTCGATCCACCGAGGGAAGCTCATGGAAATTCTGCAAGCCTACTCTTGCGCCCTATTTATTTGTCATCGCCCTAGACTATGCTCTGAGGCGAGCAATCATGGGGAGGGAGGAGCTGCTGGGTTTCACTCTCTCACCTTTCACCAAGGCAAAGCAGACGGGTGAGTGCTGTTGTAGAGACCGACTTTGACTTTGGGGATGACATCACTCTGGTCTCGGATTCAGTGCAAAAGGCACAAGCTCTGCTTCTCAGCGTGGAAAGAGAGTGCAAAAAGATTGGCCTGCAGATCAATGCCAAGAAGACGGAAGTCATGTGCTTCAACATCGACACTGGGGATGTGAAAATCAACACCAAGGATGGCACTACCCTAGCTGTAAGAGAAGATTTCATATACCTGGGCTCCCACATCAGCTCAACAGACAAGGACATCCGAGTAAGGAAAGCACAGGCTTGGAAGGCTTGCCAAAACCTCAAGAAGATCTGGAGGTCTATGATGCCGGATAAACTCAAACGAGCTCTATTCCGTGCATCCGTGGAGTCCATCCTACTCTACAGCTCTGAGGCATGGACCCTTACTACAAAGCAAGAGGCTCGACTCGATGGCTGCTACACTCACATGCTGAGGATGGCTCTAGACGTGAGTTGGAGAGACAAAGGCAGGAATGAGGTGCTCTATGGCAACCTGCCAAGGATCTCTACAACTATCAGACTTACGCGTCTGCGATTGGCTGGTCACTGCGTTCGGCATCCAGAGATAGCTGCAAGCCACTCATCTTATGGGAACCCACTCATGGAGTAGCCTCTCGAGGTGGGCAGACGCTAACCTACGTGGACCAGCTGCGTCGTGATACTGGGCTACCTTCCACAGCCGAGATCAGGACGGCCATGGGAGACTGTGATGTGTGGCGTGCCTTTGTTGCAGTCTGACGAGAGTCGACTTGATATGACCTTGATTCAATTTAAAAAACAAAGAGTTTTGTCTCAAAGACCATTTTGCACCATAAACAGCATAAAATATGCTTAAAGGTATCTCTAATGCTTGAGGGGCTTTGGTTTAAGATAAACAGTTATCAATAAAATCAACATTATCAAGCAAAAGTCAGTTTGGGTATAGTTTGGGTGACTTGGGATAAAAAAAACTTGGTTACTCAAGTTACATTTTTGGTTACATTACAAAAGTTATTCACGTTACAGAATTTAGTTGGCTTTTATCCTAAAATGTGTGTATTAGTATCAACAAAAGACTTATATTTATATCAGTGTTCATGCGAAGGAGGTAACTCACGTTACATTTTCAAAAAAAGTATAAAATGCTACTTTTTGATATTTAAAAATGGATGACAGCTGTGAATTTACATATGTTTCGGAGATTAAGATTATCATTCATGCTAGAAATAAAGTGGTGATTGAAATTTCTCTAATTGCATTTATAGCAATCAAGGTTTAAACTTTACCAAATTCTTAGAGTTCTTTGCAGTAACAAATTATTTTTCACTTTACGACACGATTTCTCAAAAAATGTTTGATAAGATTGGGTTTTCTTTGTTAATTTCACATACTTGAATGTATAATCTGTAATAAAAATGTGAAACTGGGTTAAAAAAATTTACTTTTTTTTCTTAGCCATGTCCATCAAACTGTGGAATTGCCAACTTAAAGGGAATGTACAACATTTGCTTTTGCTGCAATTTAAGAAATAAATGGATTCATCAGAAATAAATGGATTGGAGGATTAGTATGTTATAGCAAATATTGTTACACTGACCGGTTTCACGTTTTGGGTGCATAGATGCTGGAAAAACCAAGAAAACCAATCATATTCTTGTAGTCTGTTTCCCTGACCCCACTTAAGATAAAACGGATCAATTTATAGACTTTGGGGAATTGTAAGATCAGAGAATCAGTCTAGCAGGCTTGTAGTCTTCACAGCTGTGTAATCAATTTCAAAGAAAATGCAGACGATCAAAATATGAAAAATTAGGAGCACCTTAAACTTTTATCACCTGTTTTGCTTGCCTTTCCTCTCAGTAGAGATTTTTTTTCTATTATTTATTACCGCTAGATGAATGCCATAGAAATTTGTGCCTCGTAAATGCCAGTCTCTTATTATTAATTGTTAATTTTAAATTTGTCCAAAGTGTTTTTGAAATTGAAACGTAAATTAATGCACTGAGAAAAAATACATTTTATTGAATTCAAATTAATACATTTGTATGTAATTGATAAGTTGTATTGATAAATTTCCTGCTTTCCTATTTGTACATTTTTTGATAGTGGTTTCAGATGTGAACTAAGTACAAGTTCACTCTCTGCCCTCAAGACATCAAAGTTACTCGCTGAATACCGGCAGTTGGATCCTCGAGTGTATTTGCTAGCCATGGCTTTTCGGTACTGGGCAAGACTTTGTGGCTTGGACAGTCAGTCAGATGGCAGTATGCCTGCATATTCATTTGTCTTGATGACTATCTTCTTCCTTCAGCATTGCGACCCACCAGTAGTTCCAGTTCTCCAAGAGGTTCGAAGAGGTTTTTTTTTTCGTTTTTTTTTTTCTCGTTAACATTCACAAATTTTAACTTGCATTTATTTCTTCAGTGTATCTGGCCTTAAGATTTATTTTTGTGTTTTGTGAAATTAGCTTCAGAAACTACTCTGTAAAATTAGTTAGTGTATTATTATTTTTTTTTTTTTTACCAATTACCGATAAATATCTTTGCTGCAGATGTTACAGCTACATGTATCTGAAAGACTAGTGGACAATTTTAAAGACACGTGGAAACACTGGCAATAACCCAGAATTGTACCGGTACCTAAAAACCTTGCTCAAAGTGAAGAAAAGACTAGTACTTTTATACCGTGGGAAATTATTCCTCCTAAAATGGTATCATTCGAAAGATTTTTTATGTGCTCATACAAAAATCAAATAATTTGATACCTGTTTTAATGAAGTAATGTAAATTTATCCCTATATTATACAATATAGTATGGTTTGAGGGTGGATAGTCGATATTATACAACACCTGAATAAATCCCCGTCATCTGATTGGTGAATTGTAGATCACGTGACATATTATTATTCGGTATAATGCACGGTGCGACCATGCGTTATACCCATGCGTTATACCGTTTCACTTTGCGCTTGTTCCATGACGCGGTATTTGCGTGCAAAATGCATGCTGGTGTGCGCGATCAGCGTAGCGCGTATTGTTCCAAAGAGCCAGCGCTACAGCGTTTGGTTCAAACATTTTCGTGAAGGGGTAGTTCAACATCTTTGAAATCAAATAAATTGTAGTTTATAATTTACCAATCAAATGACGAGAATTTATTCAGGTGTTGTATAAAACAAATAACGAATGTTTTACGTTCGTGCGATGGAAAGAATAATTTCATTCGGTGACAGATTGAATGTTCTATTCCACTCGGCTTCGCCTCGTGCAATAGAACATTCAATCTGTCACCTCATGAAATTATTTTTACCATCGCACTCACAAACATTCGTTATTTGTATATTAGCTCCCAAAGGTATCAGAAAGTTAGTTTCGCCGAGGGAGCTTGTTTGACTACTTGCAATACCGAGGTAACCTAATATCGACTAAGTCCAGTTCCCAGACCAAAAGATTCTGACTATTTCTGATGAATGTTAGGTCAGGCTGCTGCTTGTATCTTTACAAAATATATATACAGTCATGTGACTAAAGAAGGAATGCCTCCTTTTTCTTACAGAAATATCAAAATCTACAACATAACTGTACGGTATATGAAGCAAGTGATTTATTTTATAAATTTGATCGGAACATTAAAAACTATAAGTGATAAAGCGAATTCGGAAACAAAGCCAAGCTTTGAAAAATGTCATCTTGTTTATTTTTAGCTGTGGTTACTGCCTGACCTACAATTTAGATGTGAGCATCAGGAATAATTTTCGGGTCTGGGAACCAGACTTATATCGACTTTCCACCCGAAATAAACCATGTTGTATTTGTTTTACTATACCTCATAATATACTATATTCATTTGCCGAATTTTTCCCGTTGCAGTATGCACCGCGTGAGAATAAAATCTTTGGAGAAACTTGTCCAGCTCACCAGAAGAATATTTTTCCTCAACCTCAGAAAAGTTCAGTTTGTTTGCAATACAGTAACTCCTGAGAGTTTATACCGCATTGTGGGCATCTTTTGTAATAGAGGATGCATCTTTATTGTCCACAATATTCTCCAGTTCAGCATCATTGAGCTCGGGAAAACAGTAACTAACATTTACGCGTGCAACCAACATTCTTTTCATTTGGCGATGTTTGCGCATGCGTATTACACCCATGGGACAGATTGCTTCGTAAAGCACATGCATAGTAGACTACGCATGCATATTTACCCTTTGCGTGAATACTCGAGCATGCGCTGGGTAAACAACAAAAATAGCATTTGGCACGTGATGGTGAATGGACCATTGAGAGTTCGGCTCTTGATCATGAATTTGTATTAGGCACTGGTTTAGAAATGTGTATATCATATTTTTTTTGTATATACATGTATGTGTTTAAAGGATGAAACTTTGGAACGCCAAAACACTGACACCCTTGGAGAATTGTGGATCAAGATGCTACAATTCTATACAGTCGACGTGGCAGTGGAGGAAATGGTCATCTCTGTGAGAAAACGGGAGCCTATCAGTAGAGAAGAGCTAAAGATTCCTAATAGAAGGCTTGTTATTGAAGGTAGTCAATTTTTTATGTTTAAATATTTTATTCTGTTCTAGTGCTCACTAACTTGATTGAGTATTGGGACAACCTTGTCTATGACAAAGGAATATAAGTGGGATAAAGCAATCTTTAACAATGGAGGACAGGTGTGGCCATTGTCAATGTTCTGAGCCATAAGACAAGGTGCAATAAAAGTGGCAAGATGGTGTAATCAAACTTTGTTCTCAATACATTTCTACCCCCCCCAAAAAAAAAAAATGAAAGGGAAAAAAGGGAGGGTTGTACACAATAGTTTTATTAACTTCCAAATTGCCAATGGGTCGTATGTATAAAAACTAGCATTTGCTATTTTTAAGTATTTACTTGCATTTGTATGAATAAAAATGAAGCAAATGCTTTTACTTGAAAGCATTTGCTGAAAGCTAAAAATATTTACTCTTTACTTGTTAGCAGTGTTGTAGTCGAGGCCCTAACCTCCGAGGCCACAACCTCCGGGGCCAAGGCCGAGGCCACCATCTCCAAGGCCAAGGCCGAGGTTGAGGCCAGCTATTAAAACACGTAATAAAATATAAATCACTAAAACAAGGCTAAAATTTTGTTAGATTTGTAACATCTTTTTAGTTGAATTCACTGAGTTTTGGAGTGCCCGGCTTACAAACTTTACAGCTTGCAATGTGTTTCCTCTTACCATGATCTTCAAATTCTTTGTAGCCATTGTATCCAAATAGGATGATCCAAGAATTTGTGATCATTTTGATGAACTGAGTGATATCATGCACGCACGTGGAAAGCTGAAGTGTAGGACAGACATGCATGCGAAGAACGGGTTGGTTCCCTGTCCCATTATCGCTTTGGCTACTGCACTTGTGACGTTCACTCATTCAGGGACGTACGTCGGACGAGTGTAGCTTGAATTTCCAGCGTTAATGGCTAATGACGTCATTGGCGTGACATGGAGAGATTCGCCAGTAGCACTGGAACGAAGCCCCTTACTTAGTTGGCGGTTTTTGCTATTTTTGCAGATGATTTCAATTTCTGTTCAAATTACAAATAAAAAGTCCCCTATGTGACTGTAGATTTATCCTTATTGCAGCAGAGGATCCATGCAAAATGCGAAAAGAATCAAGTCGAGCAAGATAAAAAGAGATATTTTCAGTGCAACTTCCGGGTGTGTACAAAAAAAATCCCCGGTTCATAAACACACACACGTGCAGGGCCTGCGCCAGGGCCGTATATGTGTGGACAAAATCGCATCCGAAGATCATTCACAACAGTCACAGGGCCGTATCATATTATTAATGTGGAGTAGAACAGCCAACAGCCCTTGGTCTACAGACTGTACTGTGTATGTCGAATGTAATACTGACCCGGCAGCAGTAACATGTACTACTCAGCATAAATAATCGAGGCGCCCTGTGATTAGCTGTTCTGATCTTCGGATGCGATTTTGTCCCCGCATATATACGGCCAAAGCGCAGCCTAGGCAAAGATGCTACGTACGTGAGTACGTTCAATGCAACCATTACCAGTGTTCATTCGTGCGTACATTGTGTATGCTTTCGTTTTATGGAACCCACTGCAGCAGAATCTCGAAGGTTTGATATCGTAAAAAATTATAATTAGTTGAAATAGAAACACAGAGCCTGCTTCCACCAATTCGCCGAGGCTGGAAGGCTCCGAGGCCTCCAGGACGAGGCCATGCACTCAGAGGCCGAAGCCGAGGCCATGAAAATCGGCCTCGAGGCCGGCCTCCAACACTGCTTGTTAGCTTTTGCCACACTAGAAGTGTTTACTTCATTTCGTATGAATAAAAAGGAGTAAATGCTTCAAATTTCAAATATTTACTGGTAATTTTTTCAAGGCTGGGTTGGGGCAACATTGAAAATATAACGCATACACTTCTGTGCAAAAAAAAATGCTTCATTTGTTAATATTAATCCCCCCAAAATTAACACAAAACATTAATAAACTACATATAATACCGTATACTGTATTTTGTATAACATTTATGCAAAATTTAAATACTTTTTTATTATTAATTTCATTACTAGAAGAAACGATAATTTTGCATTTTGTTCATAATGTGAGAAGTGTTAGCGTGATATTCAGTGCGGTATAGAATAATTAAGGATACATTTTATCCAACGGCACCCTGGGGACTGAACAAACTGAAATCATTTTTTTAAAGTTTATTAGGTCACCAATCTTTGCAAAGTATTATAATATTACTAAATGTACCATTAGGGAGACATGTTATCATAATTTCTTCGATAATAGGGAGACACCGGTCATTAGGGAGACACATAACTGTCTCACTAATGGCACAGCCCCCCTTTAGAGGCAAATTTTACTGTTGCAATTGAGTTATATTTGTTGCTCGTGGTCTATTTAGTAAACATACCGACATTCATGGAAAAAGGACAAGGAAATATTGGATTAGGGCACATTTAAGTATGAAAAATTTTGTGCACCAGTCTATGGGAAAGTCTAATGACCTGTTCCCGGTAATTATTATTTTTTTATATTTCAATTAACAAAACTCTATGTGTATTGAATTTTGGTATGATTTTACCCGTTTTAACACGTGTCTGTGATTTTTTATGCAGTTGTGACATCTACAGGACACTGTGGACCTTTATAATTTCCATGAATGATGAAAGTATATTTCTGTATTCTGCAACTGGCAAAAAGTGTCATGATTTCTGCTGGTTTTGAGGATCAAATGTACTACTACATGTACTGTATGCATCACCTTGAATTGGACTATTACCCTACGTGTAAAATGTTGATTTATTCGGTTGAGTACCGGGACGAATTAGAATAAATCTACTTTAGCATTGATATGTAAATGAGATATGGTAGAGTGGTTAAGGGCGGGTAATTTGAATAGCAGGATTTGAAATTAGCGGTAGCCCACTAGCCAAATGCTAGTCAAAACAGCGGCGGGCTAGTCAAACTATTCCTTAAGTAGCCTGGCTGGCGAGTGAAAAAAATTATTGGGATACGCAGGGTTTGACCTTAAATTTTTTGTTCACTAGCCAGCCGGGCTACTGAAACAGACTCCTAACTAGCCCGCATGTTTTTTTCTTTTATAGAGTGTCTCATATATTTTAATAGAATTTGGTTATATAAATTAATAAATTATTATTATTACTATAACAGCATAAACAACAATGTGCATACATGTATAACATGTATAGAGCCTGACATTTTGACCCCTGGTGGTGCGCACCAGGGGCCCTCGAAAAGGAAAATTAACGTGAAAAAGTCAAAGTTTTTGAAATTGGAATTGCATGTGTGGACACTGAAAAATCACATGACATGAAAGAGAAATCTCGTGCCAAAATTGACCTCTCACTTCCGAAAACTTCCGTGTGGACTCATGGAACTCGATCACTTATTCAAGCATGACAATTTGTGAAATAATTTTGTGGCGGTCAATGGGTAAAAACTGAAACAGGAGACAAAAATTTCTTTTGGAACGGACAATTTTTTGAACAAACTTGAAGGAGTTATTTTCATTTACAAACAAATCTAAAAGGACCGTTGATCAGAACTGTATTAAAACGTGATCCAAACGAGCCTGAATAAATCTGGAATCCGTCAGATGTAAGTAGGTAAATATTCGCGTCGTTATCAGTTTCGTTCTCACGCAAGTACGCGATGTGAATACAGACTTGATCGAACAAGGAGACATAAGTACGAAAATAGGTTGTAAGGAATTTACCCATTTCCAACTGATGTCTCATCTATTCTGAGGCAATTCTGTCAGTGTTTTAATAAACAGATCTAATAATTTAACCCTTTTCAACAGTTGATCAAATTTCACGCAAATTGATACAGGTTTGCTTTCTGAATTTAATGATTTCTTCCTGTCATTTCATCTTTGCCGTATCCAGCGGGCTACCGCTAACTTCGAACCCTGGATACGGCAAAGATGGAAAGCTCATTTGGATCACGTTTTAATACAGTTCTCATCAACGGTCATTTAGATTTGTTTATAAATGAAAACAACTCCTTCAAGTTTGTTCAAAAAATTTTGTCTCCTTTTTCAGTTTTTACCCATTGACCGCCACAAAATTATTTCATAAATTGTCATGCTTGAATAAGTGATCGAGTTCCATGAGTCCACAGGGAAGTTTGCGGAAGTGAGAGGTTAATTTTGACACGATATTTTCCTTTAAGTCATGCGATTTTTCAGTTTCCACACATGCAATTCCAATTTCAAAAACTTTGACTTTTTCACGTTAATTTTCCTTCTCGAGGGCCCCTGGTGCGCAAAATGCGAAAGTATTGTTTCTTCTAGTCATGGAATTATTAATAAAAAATTTTTGAATTTCGCATAGTGTTATTCAAAATAAAGTGTGTGGTATTAATTAAAAGTAGTTTATTAACTTTACTCCTTTTCATTCATACAAAATGAAGTAAACACTTCTAGTCTTGCACAAGCTAAAAAGTATTATTTATTTTTTTAATTAGCTTTTAGCAAATGCTTTTACTGGAAAGCATTTGCTAAAAGCTAATTAAAAAAAAAAAATCTTTTTACTTCATTTTTATGCATACAAATGCAAGTAAATGCTTAAAAATAGGTAGTAAAAGCACATGCTAGTTATTATACATACGGCCCAATACTTAAATAGTTCTGTTTTTTGGTTGCTTTTCTGGGGGGGGGGGGGGGGGGCAGGCAAGCGCCCCCCCCCCTTGCCTCCCCCTCGCGACGCCCATGCATATTGATCAATAAAAGTCGAATGGGGTCATTTTATCTTAAATTTTAAACTTTTTAACTTTTATTTGAAACCTCCAACTAGGCAAGTATAAACCTTACTCATTCCATCAAAATTACTTCCAAAAATTTAGATAGACAAAAGATCTATTATCAGATTGTTTATCTAAGTAGTTGATAATTCTTGAGTAACATTTTACTTTTTAGTTTCTGTTTTGTGTTCCTTAGATCCCATTGCCATCAACAAGAAGAATATTGCCAAGTCACTTAGCTCCAACACTGTTTTTCAGTACCTGATTGACCGACTTCAACAGGCTTTGCTTTATTTTGGCAAACCACAGAAGGCTGCATGTACATGTAGAAGTAATGCTGTGAGTGGTTCAAAAGCAACCAAGACAACAAATGCTAGAATTGACAGTTCAAAGGCCATCCAGACCAACAGAAAAAGCTCAGAGGATACAGTGACCAAGAATGTGGATACCATGAATACAAGTATTCAAACCACCAAGCAATGCATTGAATTGGACACTAAAGATGAGATAGCTAACCTTGAACAAATACCTATCGGTAACACAGGTGTGAGCAGGGCTATACCAACAATATCAATGATGAGTGGTCTTTCAAGAAACTTACAGTTGCCACCTTCCAAGGACTCTACCAAGTCTGTATCAGCAAAACTGAAAGGAAAGTCAGGGAATGATTCGGAGCTGGAGTCTGCTTGCAGGAAAAGTACCATTGGAAGTGACTCTGATATTGAGGATTCGCTAGTTACTGATTCCACTGAAAAGGATGGTTCAACAAGTGATGTTGACCTTCTTGATGGACATTTAAATACTGCGCGTTTGCAAAATTGCATTGTACCAGACAAACAGTATTGTTCAGCTGGATGCGGGGATGACGTTATGAGGCAGCAACAGGTGAAAAGCATTGTTGAAGTTGATACACAGACAGACATGAGCAAGTCTGAGATTTCTCTCTGCCATCATCATTTCAGATATGCATTTAATGAAAAGATTCTAACTGGTGGCATAAAAGTCGTCGTCATTTGCAATGGTTGCGGAAAAGAAGGACATAAAGTTGCAGTAAGTATTTGTTCATTTTCTTAAGATTGTGCCTTTTATAAAAAAAAAATTGAAACTGTTTGGATAGAATCTTTTTGAAGTGAAGATCAAAGGATGGCAATTTAGTTTGCAGAACTGGCATGTTCGTGTAGCTTACATGCAATTATCCATCTTTTCCCCATAACATTTGATTGAAAGTACTGGTCTCTTCAAGCAGTTTATCAGATTTAGGAAACAGAGCATAAGGTATGAACATTATTCATGTGACCCTGTGAGGACATTGACTGGAAGAGTAGTACAGTGAGTGTGACTCGGACTACCGATATGTTGACATCATCTGTTCCTACCCGACTGCCTGTGTATGTCACTCTGACGTTATTTTAAGATGGCTTTGACCTCAGCTTTTCAGAATTTTGGGGATGAATGCTCCAGATAAAAACAATTTCGGTGTCAGTATAAAACAGTTCACTTAACATGCTAAATTCACCTTATCCTGACAGTGCATGGTTCCGTCCAATAACAATGGCGGTTTAAAAGGGGATTTAAACAAATATTTTCTGGAAAAATTGAAACATATTGCAAAAACCTAGGAATGATTTCATCACAATAACTCAAGTTACACTACAGTATTTCAGGAACCTTGATGGGTAACTTGCACAGTCATTTCTTTTTCCAGGGATACGTGATCCTTCAACCTTGTAATCGCACTGACAATTGGATGCGAACTAGGGTTCGTCGATATCAGAATTTCAATAATTGATATATCGGAAATCCATATATTCGATGTATCGATTATCTCCATGTATAAGTTAAAGGCCATAAGGATGACACTTGATATCAAGAAAAACCAGTGTTGTTGACTTGAGTCGCTGATTCGGACTCAAGCCGGACTCAATACGCTATTTTTTGACTTGAGACTTGACTTGACTTGAAAAAAAATATGACTTGGAACTTGCTTTGACTCAAATAAATTTGACTTGCTGACATTAACATGTTTCTTAAAGTTACCAAAAACACAAACCTCTGGGCGTTCATGCGTACTAGCATAGTCGGTTGAAAAGAATGCAGATATACATAGCGAATTAGCAACCAGCACGCGATAGCTGGGCATCCTAAGCCTGCCACACGTCATGTACATGACTAGTACTATGCGTGTGTTATGGACAACGTATCATACCCGACCTCGTGCATGCGAGGTGAAGTTTGTGCCGTGCATAGTCTGAGTACCATCCGTTGTTAAGCCCCTGTCACATAGTAGCGAATAGAGCTAACTTATGCCTAGTGTACTGAATTTTTCTCTCGAAATTTGGCAAAGTCCAGATACGCTCAAATTCTCGGCCCAAATCTTCTTTTTTTTTTAGCGAACTCCTGACGTATAAGACGAATGCCCAACGAATGAGGAACAAATGCTGAGCATATAACTAGCGTCCATAGTAACAAATGACAGCACATGCGTAGCGTCCATCCAACGAATGCTGAACATACGCAACGAATGGCCAGCGTATGCCTAGCGTGCTGCGGCCAGTCACGTGACGTGTCTCCGCTGACCCATAAATACGCTCTCCAAGTCCCCGTCGTCACATTCGTTAGCCATTTGTTAGCCAAACTCTATGTATACTCTATGTTGGGCATTCGCTATATGACAAAGATCCTTGAATTGGACGTATATGTCCGAACAGCTGACGAAGAAGCAACCTACACCCAACAGGCGAAATGTTCACACAGCGAATGCTCAATAATTGTTAAATATAAATGTAATATTGTTCTTTTAATCTCCTTACATGATGCCACTTTGATACAGCCATACGGTTGCGAAGGGCGATTTCTAAAGCTTACGTAACACTTTATTTTGAATGAAGCTACTGTACATGTGCACAGACATGTTCACGTTGCCGGGTGAAATCTTCAAAAATTAATTTCTCCCGTTTGGAAGACCGTATCTTCATGCAACTTTCAGGATTTATTTCCCCTATAATGATCCAGGTATGTGTTAAAAGTTGCTGTGATATGTTCATTACTTTTCGTTGAAATTGGAAAAATAGGCCTCGCTACGTGCAATTTTGAAAATTATGAAAAAAACATTGGCGTGCGCAATATCGATCAATCTTTTCAAGCCTCACGAATATTAATGAGTTCCTATCCATTA